GTCCTTATATTAATTTAAGTTGCAGGGACAACATTAAACATTTTCATACAATCTAGGGATTAAATTGAACATGTACCAAAAGTTCATGGACCACATTGAATAAATTAAAAGTTCGGGAACAACATTGTATGTTGGGCTAAAGTTCAATGACCACATTGCATATTTGGCCAAAGTTTATGGACCATTTGTGTCATTTACCCTTTGAAGAATGGCATGACATACATCTTGCTAAATTGAGCAATTGTGATCTCTTGACTTAATTTGAAAAGTTTTCAACATGCCTAAAATGTCTTTGAATGATTACCGAAGAGGTTTTGTTGCAACCAGACCTAAGAATGACATTTTAGTAATTTTGACATGTCTAGATGTAATTTTGTAAAATTTACAGAAGTGAAAGGGCTCTTCTACAATGTTATTTTGTGGTTTAAAGTTTTAAATAGGGGCTTATTAAGTTAGATAAATTAAAAGAATTCAAACCAACTAAAATAGGGATAAGAATACTACAAATGCCATGACTTTCGTATGGCGCTCATTTGAGGGCCATAACCTTTTTTTTCGATCACTTATGTGCCATAACTTCTAAGAAAACATTCACTTGAGTGCCCGTAATTTTCAATCGATCACTTGAGTGCCATAAATTTTGAAAAAACATTTATCCAAGTGTCGAAAATCTAACATGGCATGATAATTATGGTGAACAATTTTGAAAAGATATGGCACTCAAGTGATCGATTGCAAAGTGATTAAAAAAAAACGTTAAGGCACTCAAGAGCATTGTACAGAAGTTATCACATTTAAGAGATCGAAAAAAAAAAGTACTTGTGGTGTCCTTTTCCTAACATTAGTTTAGAAACTTTAGGGGCAAATTTGTAATTTCATAAAGCTAGGGACAAATTTACTAAAATTGGATATGTGGGGGCTGATTGCACAATCAAAAACCTTATGATGATAGGTAATTACGCTATATTTTAAAAAAAACTGCTTAAATCTGTGACATGTCTACAGCGTAAATAAAATATTTGCATGTCTTAGATTGCAAATATATGGCCTTAGGTATTCGATTTAATTAGTAAAGGTTGATTACGAAAAGTTTGGAAGTTAAGGCTAAAATATGTAAAATGAGAAACCTTGTAGGGGCAATCAAGTAACTTTGGAAAATCTAGAATTGTCGAAATTAATTTATTTTTGATTATTAAGATGAATTTAATCGTGATGCGGTCTTAGTTATGAAATTGTATGAGCTAGCTAAAGTTAAGACCTAATAATAATTTAGTAGTGAGGTAGTCAACAAATTTGAAAATAGAGAACAAGTGGCTTGATATAATATTGGAAAGAGGCCTCTTGTTTTTAATTTAGAGGGAAAACCGAACGATTCCTTTTAGGTAATTTCTCAATTCTAAGTTATCCAGTTTATATAAGAATTGACTGTCTGGGATTGATTTCATCTAAATGATATATGAATTTTCATAAATTATCTATTAATTGATGATGAGATGACCAAAAGAGGATGAAGGTTTGTAAGTTGAATAATGTGTAATTATTTAACTTCAATTGTTACATAGAAAATGTTAAGAGATTAGTGTGTTATTATTTGCAATTTCGTTTATCGAAGTATCTATGGCATTTGTTATGCAGTAATAATTTGCATGTGAATGATACTATATACCAAACATCTATACCACGGCCTATTCACCAAAGAACGAACTCCCATGTATGAGGTTGTGTATAGACTCCGTAAATATACAAATGTTCTACCGTCCAAGTCAGTCTCTACAGGTTAGGACATGAGGTCCACTTTTACAAGTGATGGGCTTGTGGCTTACATACATGATACACAATATGGTTTGAGTAGCCAGTTATGTGATGTTATGGATAAACTTGTCAAACGGGTGAGTCGGGTCGGATTTGAGTTGGGTCATAAATAGTCCAATCCAAATTGACCAATTTAACCTGTTTGTGACCTGTTATCATAATGTAAATTTCTTGATTCATACCCGATCCATTTAACCAATCTAGGAAAGCTTATTTCCTATGATTGTTTAAAAAAATTGCATTGCTAAAGCACTTTCATGCAATAAAAATATAGTGGACAATTTTTATAAATTTTTTTAAAAATTGAGGCTCGGTTTTTTCGCCGAAAAATATATCTTTTTTGGAAAAAAATTTCTAGGAAGTTATTTTCCAAGAAAATGGAAATATTTTCCAATGTTTGGCTGAAACCTAAAAATGAATTAGAAAATATTTTTTGCCATTTGGTATGGAAAATCTGATTTTATTTTCCTTCGAGTACTACTCTTAATAATTTTTTTATTTTTCTTTTACTTTTTTTATTTTCATCATTTTTTTCTTTTTTAAAAAATAAAATTTTTAATTTTTAATTTTTAATTTTTTTTCTTTTTCTTTCTTCTTCAGCCGGTGACAAGCCGGGGACGAGCTCACCGATTTGGCGACATGTCGCCAACGCCAGAGGTCAGCGAGGCATGCCTCGCCAAATGTTGCCGGCTGTCACCATGGCTGGCTACCGGTCGAGGAAGAAGAAAAAGAAAAATTAAAAAAAATGAAACAATAAAATGAAAAGTCATAAAAATTCATAAAATTATAAAAATTAACAATCACAAAATTAAAAAAAAATTAAAATTGACCTGTTTATGATTTACTTAATCATGTTAGGTAACCCATTTATGATCCATTTAAGTTCATTTTTAAAACTTAAGCCAACCCATTTATGACCTACAACCATTGAATATGAGTTAAAATATGGGTTCTAGACCCATTTTGCCACCTCTAGTTATGGATAAGAGGTCAAACTTTGAAGGAGTAAAATATAAGAGAAAATGAATATGAGATAACCATCATTATGAAATTTATGTTGGCATATATATCCCCACAAATGTAGAGAACACTCGTGATCAATGGGCTGAGGCACGGCTAGATAAGTTTATGATTTCATTCCTCATGAGTTGATGGCAACATTTTCTCACTAGTCAGATGAATCCTGACAAAATGAGTAGAGCTAAACACTCAAGTATATAATATATAAATATTTGTGTGCATTTGAATGAATAATTTATGTCACATCGATAAGTTATTTTCAATTGCATGGCATGGTAGAAAACTAATGCATCTACTCATAATCATTTTGCATATGCATATATTTCAGACTCATGTCTAATTTATAATGTTGTGTTTGATATTGAGTCGAGTGGTAAAATAGTCTTCTACCTTGGACTTGGAGTTTTTATTAACTGGGACTCTGGCTAATCACTTTAGACGGATCTATAGCAATAGATCCATCTTTTGCAATAATCTTTGGGACCATCATCTATAGAGCATGACTCGGTATTTACCCATACTTGGTTACGCAATAGAGTATATTAGGTGTAGCTCTACAGTTGGGGTTGATGCCGGTTTACCTCATTGTCAGGTTGTATAGTATTATATTGATCCTCGCCAATGTACAGATCACCCGTGATTGATGGCTTCAGGCATGTCTAGATGAGTTTATGATTTTGTCTACCATGAGTTGGTGGCGACATTTCCTCGTTAGTCGAAATGAGTCCTAACAAAAAATGAGTAGGGTTAAATACTCAAGTATAATATATGTTTATATATATATATATATATATATATATATATATATGTATGTATGTATGTGTGTGCGCTTGCTTGTTTGGATGAATAATTTTGTCACATTGACAAGTCATTTTCAATTGCATATCATGGTAAAACGCTAATGCATCTACACATAATCATTTTGTACAGACATATATTTCATACTCGTGTCAATTTTATACTGTTGTACTTGATATTGAGTCGAGTGGTAAGATAGTCTCCTACCTTAAAACTAGAGATTTCATTAACTAGACTCTGGCTCACCTCTTTATATTACAGATCAATAGTGATGGATCTATCTTTTGCAATAAGCTTTGGGACCATCATCGATAGAGCATGACTCAGTATTTCCCCTTACTTGGTTTTGCGGTAGAGTATATTAGGTGTAGCTCTACAGTTTGGGTTAACACTGACTTTATTGGATTTCCAAGACATATATGATGTAATATGTTCTCTTTTGAATGTTTGTTTCAAGATAACGATGTTTGATATTGTTGTAATGATACATATATATTAACTAAATGTTGATCTTGTGTGGGATGATTAGTACTTATACTATTTGAGTTGCTGCATGTTTTTAGAAAAATAACAAAATTAAATAATAAAACCAAAATAGAAAATGATAGTTGCTGTGGGTGACCTTCTGGGGCGTTGCAATTTCTCCATGAGTCGACTGCACAATCATGGATAATAGGTTATTGGGTATACGAAAACCGATCCAGGTTTCTGTCTTCGTTTTCCAACCAACATGAAATAGTACTGAAAGCTTGTGTAGTCACAAATTGAAATCTGTTTACAAATGAGAAACGAGCAAAACTGATTTTAATTTTAAAACTACAAACTGAAAACTAAAAAGAGCAGTTTTCGAAATTTTCATTCCAAAGGAGAATGCGGTCTGATAGTGATTGCAACACGAAAACACCTCTTAACGTTAAAAAGTTATGCAACCATATAAAGTTCTAAGATATTATGTTAATGTTAAAAGTTTTATTTTCATGAATCAAGCATGTTTTCCAATTATGTTCCTTTTCACTGAAGATGCAAATTGAAAAGGTTTTCGCGAACCAAACAGGGCTAGCTTTTATTTTATTTTTTACTTTTTTTTCAAATCTAATGTGCTTGTGGTTGCCTTTTGAATGGACTGGCTGGATAACTGGGTTAGGAGTAGCTTTTGTCTCCATCAAACTGATTCATGCTGAAAATGTCCTAATCAATCAATTTTGACCAACGAAAACCACGTAACTCAAATTAGTCCGGTTAGCAAAAAATAGCGTAGTCTAATTTAATTTAAGAAAATAATATCTACAAGCCATCTTATCCATCCTTAATTTTGTAATTTTAACAGTCCACTCTGTCACTAAACATAAAAATTTACAATTGAGAAACAGTTTGTGAAATTTTTTTTATACCGACAGTATATATTATAATAACTATAAATTGTAAACAGAGAAATACCACAACTCTACACAAGAGTTCCAAAAGGAGCCAGCACTAGATGGTTACTGATCACTACCATACTCCCTAATAACCACAATAAAGTGACAAAAATATGTAACGCAAAAAAAGCCTGTGGCTAAGTCCTAATCTCCAATAACGCTGCGTTCGACCCGAGGTCTCGTACGATCAGGAAGTCTCTAACTCATCGTAATATTGCAGGGTCAACTTGTTTGGTCCTCTGCGGTAGGATGAATGGTGGCGGCACAAACCGCTACCCTAAAGAGTTCAAATTTCTTTCCCCCCTTCTTCTTCTTCTTCTTCCCTCTTCTTTAAACCCCTTGAAGCTGAATCTGCCTTTTGAGCTTCCGAATGAACTCCTCGACCCTACGGTTCAACTCTTCATCCGACATCCTCGAGAACTCATCGTTCTCTTCGGTAATCGTCCCCTCCCTAGCGTTCTCAGTCTCACTCTCTGCTACTTCATCCACCACGATCTCCTTCCCTGCTTCGCCATTAACTTCCACTTGCTTCTCAGCATCATCATCTTGAGGAACATTCTTCTTCGTCCTTTCTTCTTCTTCCTCTTCGCTCTGCTTCGAGTCGGCCTCTCTTTCTGGCTCTCTGTCAGCCACTGCTTTTGTTTCCTCCAAGACAACACGCTTCTCTTCTTCTCCCAAGACATTTTCCTCGACGGTTTCCAGATCATGCCGAAGTGCAGGAATGAACCCGCCAACACTATTGTTTTTCGCTAGGCTAGTGCGGGCAAGGTACTCCTCATAGAGGACGTCGCACCTCTCCTTGCTTGACGAGGAGAAAGCTCCAGAGTCTGCTGCGATGATGAGGATGAGGGTGTTGGAGATGAAGAACCAGAACTTGCTGTTCTTAAAGTTCTGGGATGGGGATAGGTTGAAGATGTAGAAGATGGAGATGTAGAAGAAGACGGAGAAGACGAATGCCAAGAACGACATTCCCTTCGCCCTACGTTTATAGTCTCTTGATTTGCAGAACTTTTGTAGGTTTTGGATCAAATCTAGTGTGGGTTTTGCCATTTTTCAGGGGTTTCGAGATTGATGTTGGGTTCAGGTGGAAGAACTTGTTGGGGAAGGAGTACATATATATAGAGCGGGGCTTCGAGATTGATTTTGGGTTCAGGTGGAAGAGCTTGTCGGGGAAGCAGTTCATATATATATATATAGTGGGGGTTGATCATATGTGTGAGAAAGGTGGCAAATAATAATTGAGGCATTAGGAATTTACAGTTTTGGTCTTGACATAGGGTTTGGATTTTCGTGTGTGCCCTCACCACCTTTTGCTTCTGATATGAGGATGATAAGGATTGATTGTGAAAGCATTACTTCAGCTGTTTGAAGAAATTATTACCTTCAATGTCGTAAATTGGAAGGTTAGTTGAATCCATAGCACCCTCAAAGAAGTCCGATGCTAAAACGGAGTTACAAAAGAGCCTTCGAATTTGAAGCAATCAAAATTTTTTTATATACTCTAATTCATAGTGGACTCACTTTTTCACCTTATTGACATCAAAGTAATATTAAAGATACATAAAATGCTCTAACTTTCTTTTCTTCACATTAGAAAGGACAAAGATCAAATATTAGGGAAAATTGCCAAAAAAACTCCAAAACCTATTGCAATTATGTCAATTCAGTTCGAAACCTTTTAATTTGTTTAATTTAGTCGCAAACCTTTTGATAATTTGCCAATTCAGTCAATTTGGTCAATTTTGGCTCGAAATCGCTAACATGGACGCCGGCCATCCTACGTGGCACCATTGATACTTACATGGGCAATTTTTATAATTTTTTTTAACAAATATTATGAAGTTGTTTTTCCTTTTTATTTACTTCTTTTTCATTGTGGCCGGCAAGGCGAGGTCACCGGTGACTCTTGCCATCGCTGGGTGAGGTCGGCCTCGCCAGGGTTGGGTTGACGAGGTCGACCACACCAACCTAGCCCTGGTGAGGCCAACCTTGCCCAACAACAGTGAGATCGACCCTCCCCGACCACAATGGAAAACATAAAATAAAAAGAATAAAAGAGAAAAATATATATATAATAAAATTAATAAAATTTTAAAAGATTATAAAAATTGTTCACGTCAGTGTCGGTGGCGTCCATGTCAGCCATTTCTAGCCAAAATTGGCCGAATGGACTAAATTGACAAATTATCAAAATGTTTAAAACTAAATTGGCTAAATTAAAAAGTTTATGATTGAATTGACACAATTATAATAGGTTTAGGACTTTTTTGCTAATTTTCCCTCAAATATTAGAAGGATGATAATCAACAAGCAAAGTTTCAGGGTCAATAATAAAGCCTATCTGATAAGTTCAATAAGTGCCAATTGTTTTTCTTTTCTTTTTCTTCCAATTTTTTCTTTCGATCAAGACAAGTGACAATTTCAGGCATGGTAAACTTTTCATGCCAACTTGCAAATTGAGTCATTTTAAGTGATCTTCAAAGCCCTAATGACTGCACCTCATAATCAAACATTATGACTCAACACCGACCGACCTTTGACACAAAGGACGCGCAGTCAATTCCCTAATGATTCCCGAGCCTACGTGTTCAGGCAATCCCCATGCAACCCAACACACTTAGACTACATCATCATGAGGAAGACGACTATGTATTCAGTGCTGAGACAAACGTCCACGTATGGTGGCCATGTAATGTAAATTCAAGGTAGGTCACTGGAGCGTGACTAGGCATTCGGGCGACACGTCGTAGGGCGACTCGAAAACGACACGTAGTTTCATATGAATGAATGATTAGTGACTAAAACGGGATATCAATGAGGCCATCCAGCTCATCTTTATCTGGTAAACCGTGTCTTCGCCTCTTCTCTACCGCGATAGTTATGGATCTCAAAGTAAGGGAAAACTAGTGGCTGAGAATTAGATTAGCGGGTCTTTGATATCATTATTAGCAAAACTGGTGGCGGATAATGATCATCGAACCCTCCTTGAATTAAGTGGCCCTCAGATTTCTTTCATGCTTCGTGCTCTTACACCTGTAACAAATGGCGTTCGGACATTGGGCCCAACCACACCCGGTCTTCCTCAACCAGCCGCCAAGTTCTGGTTCCAGTTCGACTGGGTATCCGCCACGTGTAGGACGGCCGTGAGATGGGGACATCAGATTGCGAGACAATCAGGGCGATTTGGTGTTGATCTCCTCACTGCATTATTTAGCAATCATCGGGATATTTTTATTGACTATAGTTAGATAATGAACCACCTACCCCATGATTTTTGTACTTTGACTTAATTAAATATTAAATCACGCTTTCATCTAATATTTTAAACTTTTAGAATAGTTATCAATAGTCTCATCAAATCTCGTATAGTATCAGAGCTGGAGGTCTATCCATGCTTAGTATTAAGCAAGAAGATCAAACTAAACATAAGGGAGAGTGTTAGAATAATTAAATATTAAATCATGTTTTTATCTAATAGCTTAAATTTTTCGAACAGTTGACAGTGGTCTCACCAAATTTCATAGTTGTGCTCGACGAGATTATTGCTTGTGAGGGTTTCGAAAAATTTAACCTTTTTTAATCGAACTTAGAGAGCAAGAACTCGTGGGGTGGGGGATTATAGAAAGAAGGTGTCTCTTCCTTATTGGCTCGCCCGGTTGTCGCTTGCGTGATCGAATCGTTTGTAAGATTATCGAGCAATGAATCGTGTTGGTTCCTAAGACTAGTTTGCAGTAACGAGAGGAACACTCCAAAGACAGCTGAGTAAAGGGATAGATTTCGTGTCGTGGGGATTAATGTTTTTTAATTGGGGAATGAATCCCATGAATCATGGGGGGTTTCGATTTACTGTGTCATGTTCTCGTCGTTTTGTGACCGTACGTGAGGATCTTATTGAAGTTTGATGCTCGAATGATCTCATCACAACGAATTGATTGTCGAGCAATGTTCCATGTATCTATGAAATTTTATTGATTCGTTGGGATTGTTTCCAATTTCGCACAGATCAAAGGAAAAATCTTACTAAATTCATTTTAATAAATGATGTAGTAATTTCATAGAGAATTGATATTTTAATCAAAAAACCTCTTCTTCCACAACATTTCTTATTCTATATATTTATTATAATAATTTTCCTTATCAACTCATTCAAAATATCTATGACGACTCTCAAATGTAATAATACCCTCTAGAAAATTGAGTAGATAATTAAATAAAGCTAGACTAACCTTTTTCTTTCTTCCATCACAAAAAACCTTTCTCCACTTTCCTTTTCATTCTAAGACTCTGTTTATTTCACAGAAAAATGTGACATTTCTAGAAAACATTTTTCGAAATTTTTCTGTTATTTAGCTGAGACATGAAGATGAACTGTAAAATATTTTTTGTCGCTTGGTAAGGAAATTCTCATTTCGTCAGAAATTGCTGACATGAATACCAGCGGTGCTACGTGGCATGACCATGCTAATATGGACAATTTTTGTAATTTAAAAAAAATCAATTTTTTAATTATTTTTTTCTATTCTTTCTTTTTTTTCTTTTTCTTTTTCCTTCTTCCTCCACCAGTTGTTGGGCCTCGACGACGGCCGACGACAGGCCACAAGCAAGGGTCAACCTCAGGCTAGGTTGAGCACACTGGAGGCTAGCGAGGTGGCACATCGCCCGAGGCGGGCAAGGTTGGAGCTCGCCACATCTCGACGAGGTGGAGCCTCGCCCGAGGTCGATGAGCTCAACCTCACTAGGATTTGGCGAGCTCGAGCCTTGCTTGAGGCCGGCCTTGCTAGCTCGCACCTATGCCCGATTGTTGGCCATCGCCGAGGCCCGGCCACTAGCGGAGGAAGAAGATAAAAGAAAAAATAAATATTAAAATTTTTTGAGTTTTTTTAAAAAATATTGGCCTCAATGGACTCAGGCACAAGAGTTGAGGACTCTAGCTCGGCCTTTATATTACTGAGCCTAGCATCTTGAGCACGGGTACGAGTATCGGTGTCCTGGGCCCGACTAAGGTCTTTGGCAGGCCTAGATGGACCCAGACCAAGGTGCCGGAGTGCCAGCCTAGCTGTCAAGGGCTTGAGAATGAGTGTTGGGGTTCTCGTGCCCATGTGTAGAGTTTCCGGTCCAAGTGCCGATACATATTCATATATTTGAAAAAATGATTTCCGACTTTTTAAAGAGAAAAACATTTTCCAATGAAATCCAAATGCTGAAAAATGAGAAAAATATTTTTTCGGAAAATGTTTTCCGCGAAACAACAGAGCTTGAGTGTCTGTTTTTCTTTACAGATTGTTGTGTTCCTTTGTGGATTTTACACTCGTTTCCACCATAAACGTTTAGCTTATTTTTCATCTCTAAACATTTACCTCTTATTGAGCCTAAAATTGGAGAATCAGATAAGAAAGTATCATAAAGAATATTTTTAAATAATATAGCTTATTTCGAAAACAATTTATGATAATAAAAGAAAGGATATCGATTAATTTATAATAAATAAAAATATAAAGTAAAAGACAATTAAATATCTAATCTATGAGTAGATTATTTGTTGTTTGAATTATAACTTCTTATTTTTCCTTAATATACCTACCTCATGACATGGATATGTTTCACATGAAAATTGTTCAAAAAGACCTAAACCTATTGTACGACAACCAATTCAATCATAAACTTTTCAATTATGCCAATTTAGTCCTAAACCTTTTCACAACTTGCCAATTTAACCCTAAACTTTTTTCGTAACTTGCCAATTTAGTCCTAAACCTTTCAATTGCGCTAATTTAGTCATAAACCTTTTAACGATTTGTCAATATAGTCCTTCGGGCCAATTTTGGCCAGAAATCACTAATGTAGCAATCTAGTCAGCATCGTTTGTTCTACATGGCACGGCCAGCATTGATGTGGATAATTTTTACATTTTTAAATTTTTTTATCTTTACTTTTCTTTTATTTTCTTTTACATTTTTTTCCCTTTATCCCTCTGTCGGCCATTGCCGAGCCTTGTTAATGGCTGGCAGAGCTCACTAGCCTCAAGCAAGGGACACCCGCACCTAATGCCAGCAAAGGGAAAAAGGGAATAAAGAAAAATAAAATAAAATAAAATAAGAAAAGGAAAAAAAGAAAAAAAAGTTCATA